TAAAAATCTTCAATTGTTTATCTTTGACATTAGTGATTAGTGGTAAGTTTGAATAATAGTTGTATTACCTGGTCTTCTGTGTTAATGTATGGATATGGTCCTATCACTGACAATGTTGTACTTCAAGATGGATCTTGAAATGTATTTTTCGATGATTAATGTAACACCATTCCTCTTCAGTTTCTCACTACTGGTATAGTAGGCCATATGATTGTATGATTCAGAATGGCCAATACCAGCCCATTTCAGCTCACTAGTGTGGGAATATTGATCTTTTGTGTTCCTTTTCATTTTGACAGGTTTCAGTTTTCCTAGATTCGTACTTTGTACATTCCACATTTTGATTTTTAATGGATATTTGCAACTGTTCCTCCTCATTTTGAGTCATGCCACATCAGCAAAGGAAGGTCTTGAAAGCTTTACTCCATCTAGTCATTAAGGTCACCTCTTCTTTAAAGAGGCAGGTTTTCCGCTGATGTATTTGGAGTGCCTTTCAACCTGAGATGCTCATCTTTTAGCACTGTATCTCATAATTTTCCACTGCTATTCATAAGTTTTTTCCTGGCCAATTTTTTTCAGAAGTAGACCACCAGATCCTACTTCCTAATCTTTCTTAGTCTGGAAGCTTCATTGAAAACTGTCTACCATGGGTACTGAAAGCCACACAGTATGACTGACTGACAGATGAGTGGTGGCAGTCAAGGTAGAGTTTCTTATAAAATAAGTAAAAAATAAAAGGACAAGTCTTTAAAACAGTGAATATTTTATTGTATAATAAAGTAGTAAAGGCGGAGTTTATTGTAAAATATAACATCACTTTTCATTGTGACTCAAGTGAAAGTTTACAAAACAAATTCATTTTCCATTCAACAGTTCGTATACACTTTGTTTTTCAACTTTGATTGTAATCCCCACAATGTAACAGATCTCTTCTCACATCCTTCCTGTGGTTACCTTTTCCCTGTGTCTTTCTTTCCTTTCTTCTTTTCATTCCTGCCTTCTGCGCTTTCTCCCTGAATGAGTTCTGACATTCTGATCTCCTGTGGCTGATTATTCTAAGGGGTACACCTGCCTGGTGTAATTGTTTACCCCTTAGGCCTGTGTATTATTTTGCTGAAAGTTAAGCCATGAGAGTGAGTTCAATTCCAGGCTTGAAGGGTGAGTAGGGGCCATAGTCTCAGAGGTTTCACCAGTCTCTATCAGACCAGGATGCCTGATCTTTTTATGATTTTGAGTTTTGTTCCATATTTTCCTCCCACTTCTATCCAGTTTCCCTTATTCTGATCCCTTCTCGAGGGGTTGGCAGCGGTACCTGGTTCTTCTGGTCTCAGGGTCATCATGTAGTCTGAGATTCCCATGGTTCATCAGTCTCTTGGACTAATTGTTTCCATGTGTCTTTGATTTTCTTCACTCTTCCTTGCTTGGGACATTGAGAGACCAATTGTTGCATCTTAGATGGCTGCTTACATCTTAGATGCATCTAGATGCATCTTAGATGGCTGCTTAAGCTTTTAAGACCACAGTCACTACTCACCAAAGTAACATGTAGAACAATTTTGTGTGTGTATAGGTGGGTGTACTGTGTTATGTCAGTTGAGCTTGACACCTGCTTTTGGTGTATATCCTTTCCCTTTACCCAAATCAGTATGTGTCTCTTATCTAGCTAGCAATTTTCTCTCTCCTCTCCTGTTCCTGGTAACTGACAGAGAAAGTGTCCTTCTGTGTGTAAACCTTTCCTTGATTTTTTTTTTTATAATAGTGAACTCATAGAATATTTATCCTTCTATGATTTATCTCAGGGGAGCTCTGGTAGCATAGTGGCTAAGACACTTGCCTGCTAACCAGACGGCTGGCGGTTCAAACCCACCAGCCACTCCTCGGAAGGAAGGTTGGGCAATCCTACTTCCGTAGTGATACTGCCTCGGAAACCCAAGGAGGGGTCGCTATGAGTCGGGGCCGACTCGACGGCACATAACAACAACAACAACAACAATGATTTATCTCACTCAGTGTAATTTCCTCCAAATTCATCCACATTGTAAGGTGTTTCACAGATTTTTCATTATTCTTTAATGTTGCATAGTATTCCATTGTGTATGTGTACCGTAGTTTGGTTATCCATTCCTCTGTTGATGGACACTTAGGGTTATTTCCATTTCTTTGCTATTGTGAATACTGCTGCGATGAATATGGGTGTGCATATATTTGTGTCCTGACTTTCATTTCTTTAGGATACATACCTAGTAGCAGCCACTCCTCGGAAGGAAGATTGGCCAATCTACTTCTGTAGTGATACTGCCTTGGAAATCTAAGGAGGGGTCGCTATGAGTCAGATTCCACTCGACAGCAGTGAATTTGTTTTGTTTTTTTTTTTAAGTGGGATTGCTGGATCAAATGGTATTTCTATTTCCAACTTTTTAAGGACGTGCCATACCTTTTTCCTTGGTGGTTTATGGTTTCCCCAGCAGTGTTACAAGATTTCCAGTCTCTCTACATCCTCACCAGTATATGGTGTTTTCTGTGTTGTTGAACTTTGCTATTATTGCTGAGGTGAGATGTTATCTCTTTGTTCTTTTGATTTGTACGTCTTTAATAGCTAATAATTGTAAACATTTCTTCATGTGTTTGTTAGCCACCTGAATATCTTCTTAGGTGAAATGTCTGTTCATGTCCTCTGTCCATGTTTTAATTGGATTGTTTGTCTTTTTGATGTTGAGGTGTTGAAGTTTTCTATAAATTGTAGAGATAACTCCTTTATTGAATAGGTCATTGTCCAGTATTTTTTTCCCAGACTCTGGGTTCTCTTTTTATTCCTTTGGAAAAGTCTTTGATGCACATAAGAATTTAATTTTTAGAAGGTCCCAACCATCTAGTTTATCTTCTGCTATTTGTGTACTTCAGTAATGTTTTGAAGAAAGTTACCTGTTTGCCTTCTGATATACTTCTTCCTATGCTTCTATTATTAATGTTGTAGATTAAAAAGGTAAATAAAACCTAACAATAGAAGGGAAAAAAGGTCCAGTATTAATCCATTTAATTTTCAATGAAATGAAGTTTGTTTGTTTTATATCCTAATTATAAATGCTTATTTCATACTCATCCCAGAAAAATCAGAAAACACACAGAAACAAAATGATGAGCAGATGGGATACTTCTAATTCTACCACATGCAGACAATTACCATTCACACCAAGCCCTGTGAAGCATAGCTCTTTTCTTCACCATAAGCTGGAATCAACTCGACAGCACTGGTAAATGCACTGATAAAACTTTATTGTGTGTTTACAGATTTTTTTCCCTTTACATAATATACACTTAGAGCCCTGGGGATGCACAGGTTAAGCACTCAGCTGCTAGCTAAAATGTCAGCAGTTTGAACTCACTAGCTGCTCCATGGGAGAAAAATGTGGCAGTCTACTTTCTGAAGGCTTACAGCCTGGAAACTCTATGAGGGCAGTGCTACTCTGTCCTATAGGGTTGCTGTGAGTCAGAATCAACACAATAGCAATGAGTTTGGTCTCAAGATACACTGGCAAAGCTAGGCCCATACCATTTATGATGTAACCTGTTATTTATTTATTTTTTTTTACTTAAAAGCATATTATAAGCACCTTTCTACCATATAGATACATTACTTTAACATCATTTTATGTTCATAATATCCCATTGCATAAATATACCAGAATTTATTTAACCAATCCTCTATGGGAAACTTAGGCTTTACCCACATTTGTATTATTGCAAACAAACTGTATTGTATATTAATCTGCACATATTACCGATCATTTCCTTAGAAAGAATTCCCAAAAAATAGAATTAATGGATCAGAGGGCATATGTACTTGTTAGTCTTTTGTTATTTTGTGTCAGATTTCCTCCAGAAAGGCTATAATGGTTTATATTCCACCAGCAGCATCTTCCTGTTTGTTCTTTTATTTTCCAGTTCATTTTGGTCATTGCTGGATCATTTTAATCACTTAATCAGTGAATAATCTCTCATTGTTTCAATTTTTTTTATTTAATCATTTGTTCTTGTTGTTGTTGTTGTGTGCCATCAAGTTGGACCCGACTCATAGCGACCCCTCCTTGGGTTTCCAAGGCAGTATCACTACAGAAATAGATTGACCCATCTTCCTTCTGAGGAGTGGCTGGTGGGTTTGAACCGCCAGCCTCTGGTTAGCAGTCAAGTGCCTCAGGCATTACACTACCAGAGCTCCTAGTACTTCATTAGTGGGGTCTTCTTCTCCAAATATTTATCGATTATTAGCATTTTATATTTTGTTTATTGCCCTTTCATATCCTTAGCCAATTTTCATCTTTGCTTTCCCCAGTTTGTCATTTGCCTTTTAATTTCTGTTAATACCATTTTGTATTTATGTACATTATTAGTTTAACAGATCAGCTAATAATAATGATAATAGTTAACATTTTTTCTATACTTACTAAGTCCTACAAACTGAGCTAAGCCCTTTATTTACTTTGTCTCACTTAACTGTATACCCACTCTTCACTTTTCAGTATGATTAAGTTCCAAAATCAGGTAATTGTGTGAAAATCAGCATTATGCAAAAATGGAAAATGATCACATAAGATCACAAAATGGAGAATGACTACATCATTATAGAACTGCCAAACCACTGAGCATCCTAGCCCAGCCAAAGAAGTTGGTACATAACCTTAACCATTACACTCAGCGTTGCTCTCACCTAGCACTTTGGCATTCATTATTGCCAGACATATGTCATTAATGTGTCAAGTAGTTGGATAGCAGTTTTTTTGCTATTGTAGTAAATAAGAAATGTCAGATAAGATGATAGTCAATAAGTGAGCAGTTGTTGTTGTTGTTGTTGTTGTTATGTGCCGTCGCGTCAGCCCTGACTCATAGCGACCCCTCCTTGGGTTTCCGAGGCAGTATCACTACGGAAGTAGGATTGCCCAACCTTCCTTCTGAGGAGTGGCTGGTGGGTTTGAACCGCCAGCCTTCTGGTGAGCAGGCAAGAGCAGTAGGTATACCCATTTCACAGATCACAAGCTCAGACCTAAAGAGGATACATATCTTGCCCCAAGACAAATAATGCGTTTATGATTTTGAATCTTATTTTAACCAATCAAAAAACCAAATTCACTTCCATTGAGTTGGATCTGACTCAAGACCATGATTTTTAACTCCTTTAATATACTGCTTCAAGAATAATACTAATAGCCAATATTTATTTGATAATTGTATGCCAGGCATTGTGTTAAGCATTTAAATTTCATAGTTCTCATACTGTGTAAGTTAAAATTCATCATATTCAAATATCAACTTGAAGATTTTTAGTGAGTGAAACTTAAACCCTGTTCGTGTCAAATTAGGGACATGAAATGAATGTGCAATTGCTATATATTTACTTTTGTCATCATGAGCAAACCTCATTTTTTACATAACTTTAATTTTATCATAATGTTTATTTTGTTTCAAAAGTAAACACAGTGGTGGTTTTAAACCAAGATAGGTTTTTATTAGCCTCACTCTTTGTTTACCTAACTGTTCAGGCTGGCTCTCACTTTTCTTGCTGCTTGTTTTGATTAATGGTCCCCTGGAATTGCTCCAGAGTATACTGATTATGGTCTGTGCACTTCAAAGATGATTTATTAATTGTGTTTGCAACTCAAAATAATTAAGTAAAGATTGATCATATGCATCATTATAGGTTTGCCAATAAAATTAGCCATTACATTTTAAGATAAAGTTGCCTGAGTGATTGTTATTTAAACTATACAGAAAGGACAAAATATTAATATTTTTTGAAAAATATATCAACATTAACCACAGCTTTGTAGCCTCTTAAAATATGGTTATTAAATGTATCAGAGGCTTAGTATTATACATGATGCATTTTTTAAGTTCTATTTCAATATAATTTCAAGATAATATGTTTCAGTGGAGATTAAATAGGTGTTTAAAAAAGTATTTCCATGTTTATAACTCATTCTCAGACCAACCATTACTATAATCCCCTCAGACTATTTTATACATTACATTTCCAATTACTGACAGATTTAGATTTCTTTTAATTTTTTTTAATAGGGACTATTATAATATTTTTGAATTTTAGGTAAAGGGAATGTATTATATAGCTCATATATTTTATGCTTCTGTCATTTGAAATACTTTTACATAAAGTTTCTCTAAATTTGGCTTGATAATAGTTACTGTTTCAGGTATCTTAAGTACTCTACCAACAAAGAATAATATGTAAATATTCATCACATCTTATCAGTGGGTTTTTAATGAAGAGAAATTACCCCTTCTCATAATTAAATATTAAAAGAAAAATAAATACATTACTTTTTACTTATTTGGTATGCTATTCAAAATTTACATTGTAACAGTGAAATTATATAACAAATAATTTATTATGATACATAACTAAATGTAAAATATGTATGTTTGTATCAAAACATCAAGAAATTAAATAAAATGATTTATCACAATAAAATTGAAGCTATTTCATATTCTAAGCTTTTTATGAAAGTATACTCTTATGACAAGATAAGAAGTTGAACCCAGTAATAACTAATATGTTGGAAAATAGGATAATGTAATTGGGCATGAGAATAAAAAACAAAAAAAGTCTAAGTAAAGAAATAAAAGATACAAAAAAAACCTATTAATATCATTCAAAGATTTTCTTTGTTTTTGGTAAATCATTAAGAGACAACACAGACTTTGTTTCAATATCTTTACTAAAATTTACTTCCAATAAAATTCTTCAGACCTATTGGTAATATGCCTAAAGTGTGCCCAAATCCATAATAGATACAAAGAACCCTGAAATTTAGAAGAGAAGGAAGTGATATTCCACAGGAGGACTATGGAATTGGAGATGAGAGATCAGAGAAGACTAATCAGGAGGAGATATCATTTGAGTTTGCTTTGGAAAAAAAAAAAAATGAATGAGGTTTTAAAGACATAAACAAAACAAAGATAATCCTGAAACTAATCATTGAACTTAGTCTTCGGAGAAGTCTTTCTTTTAGTACCGAACCCCCGCCTACCTACCAATGCACCCAACCTTTAGGCTATTTTTCCCAGCCTCACTGGCGGAGATAAACAGTTTTGTGACAAAATCCTACCAACGGGATAAGATTATGCAGTTTTTAGATCTTGTGCATAAAATGATTGGGAATTCGTTTCCCTGTCTCTTTCCCCCTTTCCTAGCTCATGGTGCATCTGCCATTTAAGGAAAACATCCAAGACAAAGGCAGAGTAACAGCATAGTAGGAATTACAATCAATGGAAAATCTCGTGGAGCAGGGATGTGTATCCATTACAGATTATACAGCTACCTCTAGACTTTGGTGTGTGAGACAAATAAATGTCCAATAGGTTGAGCCGTGGTACTTTCTGGGTCTCTTTGTTACAGAAATTTGGGATATACCCTAACTAAAAGAAGGGATATCCTATCGGGAGAACAGAGTACACAAGTAAACGCATGGAGAAAGAGTCTGAAAGACAGAGGGAAAGTGACCAGATCATGAAATATATAGAATCCCAAACCAAATCCACTGCCATTGAGTAGATTCCGACTTTCAGTAACCCTACAGGACAGAGTGGGAGCTCTGGCAGCGTAGTGCCTAAGGCACTTGACTGCTAACCAGAAGGCTGGCAGTTCAAACCCACCAGCCGCTCCTCCGAAGGCAGATAAGGTGGTCTACTTCCATAGCGATACTGCCTCGGAAACGCAAGGAGGGGTTGCTATGAGTAGGGTTGGACTGACGGCACATAACAACAACAACACAGGACAGAGTAGAACTGCCCCATAGGGATTCGAAGGCTGTAAAGCTTTTGGAAGGACACAGCCTCATCTTTCTCCCATGGAGAGACTGGTAGGTTCAAAATGCTGACCTTTTGATTAACAACCAAATACTTTAACCACTATGCCACCAGAGCTCTTGAGGTACATGAGAGTTGTGAATAAAGTTGCCAAGGTAAGAAGAAACCATATCACAAAGGAACTTAAATACTTATCTTTTTTTATTTTTTTTTAACTTCTTGATGAATGAAACTAGAGCTATTAAAAGTCTTCATCCAAAGAATGACGTAATAAACAGTGCTGCTTTGGGAAAATTTCATTGGAAACTGTATTTTCATAGGACGGAAAGGTTACAGATAAGCAGAAAAAGATAGGAGAATATTATAGTATTCCAGGGAAAGTTATGTGAAGAAGAAAAGCAATTGTGAGTGTATTGGAAAGTAAAGGAAGGAATAGATTAAGAAACAGTTAAAATTGCCATCCTCTTTTTTGGAAGCCTCATCAGTTATTGAAAGCTACTTCAGAATGTGTGGTCTTTCCCAAAATAAGTCAGTAATCTTTCTTTTGAATTCAGCCTGCCATGCTAGAGAAACAAAGCTTTATGGTCATGAGCAATGACTTCCCAAAAGACTAGAAACTTCTTCTTCCAGGCTGTTAGGGTTGTATACTCAGTATAAAGATTATACTAGATTAATTTTTTTATTATTTTAATTTATTTCATATCTTTTGTTTGTTTTCCTGCTTTGCTTAATTTGACATATACAGGCATACCTCAGAGATTCTCTGGGTTCGGTTCCGGACCACCACAATAAAGTAAATATTGCAATAAATTGAGTCACACAATTTTTTGGTTTCCCAGTGAATGTAAAAGTTGTGTTTATATGATTTTGTAGTCTTTTAAGTGTGCAATAGCATTAGGATAAACGTTGAAATATTGTGAGAGTTACCAAAATGTGACATAGACAAAGTGAGCACATTCTGTTGGAAAAATGATGTTGACAGAATTACTTAATGCAGGGTTGCCACAAACTTTCAATTTGTGAAAAATGCAGCGTCGACAAGGTACAATAAAGCAAAGCACAATAGAACGAGGCATGCCTGTAGTTAGTACTTTAATCGGTAAGCTATGTCCAAATCATACTTTTAGGAGGGTTACTCTGAAAGGTGTACTATAGTCCTGTGAAAGTCTTCCTTGATGTAGTAGTTCTTGTGAGCTGCAGTCACAGGAAATATCCTTTTCTGAACATATATTTTCATTTTAATCTAAAGCTATGGAATTTATTTTGCTGAGGGGTATATTACCTGCTTATGTACCATGGTTAAAATCAACTTTTTCACTGTCAAAGAAAATCTGTAATGGATGCAGTGCTGATTTTAAAAAAAAGTGGTTTTTTTTTGCCCCCTAGAGCCAGGATATTCTGGAATATTTTAGACCTCAGGAAAGTAACATGTGAACTGTATTCCCAAAGAGGAATTTAGCCAGATAAAATTGTCTGATTTACTTCATATGTAAGCAGACACCATTCTGTAGTGCTTTAGAGTGCGAAGTCTGAAATCCAACTACCTGGGTCTGTGTCTAGCTTCACTACTTACTACTACTGCCGGTCACATTTTGAACATCCTACTTGATTGCTAACCAGAAGGCTGGAGGTTCAAATCCACCAGCCATTCCTTGGAAGGAAGGTTGGACAATGTACTTTCATAGTGGTACTGCTTCGGAAACCCAAGGAGGGGTTGTTATGAGTCAGTTCCGACTCGACAGCACATAACAACAACAGCAACAACAACTTAACCTTTTTATGTTTCAGTTTTCTTTCCAATAAAAAAGGATAATACTACCAATCTTGAATTTTGAGAATTATGAGATAATTCACATAAAATCTTTCACATACTGCCTGGCACATAATTAGCACCCAATATATGTTAAGTATTTTTATTATTATTATTATTTAATATTTATCATCATTGTGAGATCTCTGATAGCATGGTGCCTAAGGCACTTGATTGCTAATCAGAAGGCTGGCAGTTCAAACCCACCAGCCACTCCTCGGAAGAAAGATGGGGCCATCTACTTCCGTAGTGATACTGCCTCGGAAACTCAAGGAGGAGTCGCTATGAGTCAGGTCCGACTTGATGGCACGTAACAACAGCAACGATCATCATTATTTTTGTCATCCTATCTCTTAGCTATTAGCTATGAATTGTATA